GCTAAGACGTCGTCTCGAAAACACTCCACGCAAAGTCGCGCTGCATGTTTCTTTGGTATCCACGTTACATTTCAAAGTGCGAGTATTCCACGCGCTCTATGTAGTAACTGGGCTGTCCCGTTGTCCTATTCTATTCCATACGCCGGGTCTTGTGACCACTACTGTCACGCGATCCGGCGAAACGCGCGCCGCTATTCAATCTTTTGTGGCCGCCGAGCCGCGCAAAACGCCGTCTTAACATAGCATCACGTGCGCGCCGTTGTCCAATCAACCCTTCCCCGGGCCCGCCTAACCCTTCCCCCACCCCCCTTCCACCCCTCTACGTATCTATGTATCTATGCAACCTACCACAACACGCGCCCCCCTTGACCGGTCGACTCTACCGTTCCTTCGCTGCGCATGCGCGCCGAGGTTAAACTAACTATCGCGCCGTAGCAACACAATTACGTATTTCCCAGTGTGCATGCTCATCCAACGAATGATCGAGGTATTAGAGCGGGTACAGTAGTATAGTGCATGTCCGGTAAGGCCTTTTCCCCATATTTGTGCAAGTATAACTTGCGTCTCCCCTATTGTACAAACAACAGCCCACAAACCTCCTTGGGCCAAAATAAGGGTTTACGGACAGGATTGCCCGTGTCCACTCAGGCGGCAGACTGCCGTGTGCTCTATCCTCACATGTAACGTTGTGTTGCCGGCATCATATAGCCATTGCACTGAGTACAAGAATGTGATATGGTATTGCCCTACAGTCCCAAATTAACTGGTTTTACCACTATCATAGGCCGGAGCATTGGGTGTGACTGACATTATTCATATATAACAGTTTCGGGACAGAGGATCATGGACACCATTCAATAATGGGAATTTGCACTAAAACCTATGGACAAAAGCACTATAGAGAGGTGTGATGTTTGGTGTATATAAGAGTTTCTCTTAAATTCGCACGTGGTATTTTATTAATTAACCGGAATACCCCTAGTGCAGGCTGGCCGGCTGCTCTCTAGCCTTGTACATAGGGAAATGGTGAACATTGTTGGCGGCGAGCGACCCAACTTGGGATTTGCCTTGCGATGTTGTTCGGCGGGCTGGATAACGTAGCCGTCAGCGCACAGCTTTCGCTTCGTGAGCACGACAGATCTGACCTGTCGCCGCTTACATGCGTGATTGTGACATTGGCAGAACGGGTGAGCAGGTGAGCAGAACGGTACTTACCTTACGCTTTCAGCTCGTCAGTCGCGGTCCACCAGGCAGCTGGCATGCAACAGTATGTGCACGAGCAATCCTAGCGTTTGCAAGTTGCACCTTGGAACCATGAAGATTGGGAAGAGGTGCAGCCTCGGTCAGTCACCGAAGGTTGCAGCGCATGCCGTCGAATGGAGGAGAGTTCTCTAGCTGGCTAGATCGATCAGCGCATATCGCGAGGCACGTACCGACCGTGTGTGAAAATGTGTAAAGAATTTGGAAATACTTACGGATAAAAAGGAGCGCGTACAAAGCCGCGCATGCGCACTTACACGACGAACGACGTACGAAATTCGAACGGCTCGCTCCCGCTCGCCAATAATATGCAAGTCCTTCCTCGTGTATGCAGCTTGGGTATAATTATTCTGCAAGGGAAAGTATGGTTGGAATTGTTTTTCAGACACAATCAGTTGATTGCTGGTAGTAGTGGGGAAAACCGATATTACGTGTATCAATCTGCGCAAGGCGAAAAAGTATTATTGATAAAGCACTCAGCAATTACTAATTGGTCCATAGCTAGATAGCTATCTCCAGTGTCAGTTTTACACGAGGGGACCGAAAAGAATAGCACTGTTCAATTTGTTCTCCGTGGAAAAGAAAAACTCACAATGATATTCCACAAATTCATTCATTGTTATCTTCCCATCTTCATCCCTATCCATGGAATGAAGGATTCTAGTTTAGCAGATTTGGTGAGAACCCAAGCTGCATATGAACATTCCACTCATTGAAAGTAATAAAACCATCCCCATCAGCATCAAGACACGTAAACATATGGTGGAACATGATTTCATAATTATCTCGAGCCATCAGGGTTTGCCAGCGACTTTCAAATTCGTCATAACTTTGCTCCACGCTACCATCAACAAGACCGAGTTCATCGCAGAAGGAAAACATGCTTTTCGAAAAAGCTTCTATTTTCTCCCGTTGGACATTCAGCAGTGTGTGTTCTTGTTCTACTCTTTGTACTTCCACTTCAAAATCATATCTGCTCAAAGAACCACTTTTGCTTGTATCTCGAACAATGACTGCCTTACGAAGCTTTCTCCTCCAAAAATCACTCTCTTGGAGTTTCACACTATCCACCATATTGTAGAACCGTATGACTTTTCAGCAAGAAAACAGAATAGCTACCCGAGGTAGCTAGCTATAAAATATACAGCAGAGACCTGGCTGAAAATCTTCAGGGCTGTAAGCCATAGACCGGATGTCGGCATCGCGGTCTACAACCCGCAATTTGTTCTCATTAGCGTATAGGTTCTTACTGGTAACCACTACTGCCAGCCCCTGAGTTGGCCGTATGTTGCGTTACATGCTACGCTCTGCAACCGGTTTACCTTCACCGGTTTTCGCTTGTTTGCGTTATAGCTAGCTAGCTAGGCTAAAAGAAGCTGGAAACGAAGGGAGCTCTGTCTTACAGACAGTGTGACCAAGCTCATCTGATCAGCCGCGCGCGTCTTGTTAGCATAATATATAACACGCATGCGCAGAAAGTACCCGGGCAGCGCAGTTGTAACCTGCCGGATGGAGCTGCAAAACGTTATACAGAAAATAAAAATGTACAGAGAATATTTACCTCCCTGTCGAATACATCTAGAGAGTCAAAGGATGAGTTCCAGCAAACGCAGAATGACCTAACCCCAAAAGGAAGTAGCAAAACAAATGCATCAAGGAAGCAACCAGACACAAGTCCCCTCATGAACAATATCACTGAGAAACGTTTTTTATTGTACCAGTGCACAGGGTAGCAGAGTAAAATGGTCTACTGGAGAACATAACGAATAAACGATGAGTCGTTCAAGAACTCATGACAGAGCAACTGGACAATAGTTGGGGCTGAAAGAAGCATCCTTGTTGCCTTTGGTACAATGAACAATGACAGACACTGTAACCATGGCGAATCACACAATGGTGTTATCTGATTAACTATGTATGAGGTGAAGCAATTTTAAAAAAGCCAACATGACATACTAGAAGAATCAACTTTGTGTGGCTTGAGACTCAAGAGAGTTTCGACTGTGTAATCCACTGTAAAAAGAATGTCCACAAAGATCATAGTCAGACAGAGCACATAGCATTACGAGGCCGACGTTTGGGTTTGAAACTTAGAAGCAAACAATATTTGCGATTTATTTCTATAATAATATTATATCTCCATGGATTCCATCAACAATAGCTACCAGATGATGCAAGATTCTTTAGTCGCTTAACACCTGAAAGCCAAAACTGGTCTTCATGATTCTTGGCAAAAGAGTCTAGGGGACTGCGGAGTAGGTTGTGTTGCCTACACTTTTAGCTACTTCCTAATAGTATGACCCCTTGCCCTAGAGCGAACTGTGGGTGAAATTTTGTTCTTTCATGACTTTCATGAACTGAACCATGATTTATGTAATGAAGAAAGAACCTGTGTTAAGATTTTGGCGATTATGATATGCCTCCAGTCAACATTTGCCTGTAAATGCAATTAGCTTCCGTTAATTTATTATTAACACTTAACCAGCAGCGGACACAAATGTATGCAGAGCCTCCATAAGTCCATAAGAATTGATATGGGGGGTATAATACTAGGTGCTAATACTTGTTAATCAAGCCAGTGTAGCGCTGAACCCGTTGTGTCGCGTTTTGGCCGGTTTGTTGCGCGTGGTGGCAGAAAACGTTGTAACAGACACACAGAGACAGGCAGACAGACACACAGACCAAGTACTGTAACCCTCGCTGCGCATGCGTGCCGAGGGTTAATGATTGAACTTTTGAGTGATTGCTACTAAAGTGATGCAAAATCATTTCCCAAAAGATACGTATTTAGGATAAAATCAGTTAGCTTCTTGTTGGTTGCCATTAGCTTCTCTTTTTGTCTGCTCTCCTTGTAGAACACCTTTGCCCAGAGTTAGCAGAAGCAACGTTATTCCTCCCCTTTCCTGAATGCACTTCGTCCTCATCTTGGCTGACTGACATGGGGGGCTCTCCTCCGTTATCTTCTTCATCTGTCTCTTCTCTGTTATCATCCACTGTACCAAGAGATGTAGCCAGAGCTGTCTCTGAACCAGATCGCAAACGTCTAGGTCTGGTTGAAATAGCACTGAGAAAACCACTGCGAGTCCAGCCATAAGCTATGGCATTCAAGAAACCTTGAAGTGGGACAAGCAATGCCTGCAAAATAGACAGAGATCACACTAAGCAGTTAATGCTACATTAGGTAGTATAGCTACCTCCAAAATCATGAATCTATTGATGAAATCCATAGATATGTTTGCAGGTGGAAAATCTCTATGTTTGTTGATGTAATATAATTGAACGTTGATATTGATAATCCCACAGATAAGAGCTGCCATGGATGTAAACAAATTATTGTTTATAGTCAGTGAGTAGCTATATACTTACTCATAGCTCCTGTCACAACGTATATGGAGATAAAGATCAATACCCGTTTCTTTGCTTCCCTCTGTCCCTCAACTACCATAGCCCGTGTAGCGCCATTCAGAGGTGTGGTCTCATTCTCTGTGGCAGTATAATTATGAAAATAGCAGTTGTCGCTCCAAGCAGTGGTATACACTTTACCCACCTTGCCTTATGTGCCGAATTCTCATAAGAATTGCACAGTAGACTACTATCATAGAGACCAGCACAACACAAAAGTTTGTAAGAAGAACTGCAGCATAAGATGTTATGAAGGAGTGTAAGAGGACGAGGTAGCTTTTCCTGCCCTGTAAGAATGAGCCCAATAGAGGTCAACATGTGGTAATTAGTGTCACTCACATCGGTGTTGTGCCCAATTTGTGGTCGTGGTAACATATTTCCATAATATGGTAAGCACCTATTAAAGAGGCATAATATTCACCTACAAACTAACTGCATAAAACCTATATATATACCAGCATGAAAACTTGTTAGCTTTTTCAATCAGTCCAAACTTTGCAGAAAGCACTCCAAATATTGGCAGGATCAGCAACAGTGGCATAGTCCTGAGGTTAGGATTAGCTATATAGCTACCATGGCTTGACAACAGAATATTCTTATCGTTACCAAGCGACAAAATACATGAAAAATGAAAGTGGACGTTTCCATATTTGTGCTCTCTGCTGCCATATCTGCATCACAAAATACAACAAACATTCTGAAAACATGCAGCTAAAATTTATCCAGGTGGCGTTGGACTCACATGAATGTCACTCTTCCTGATACTGAAATATGCCAATACTGCATATATGAGAGTTAGGTTCATCGCTACACACTGTAGAATCTACACGTTGCAAAATGTTTGGATGGAGAGTTTGCATTACAATACTAGTGTCCCAAAAACTCTGCTTTTGTACGTACATACCACAGTCAAAAGGGTAATGGAGAAACAACTAACTCTCAGGTCATCGAGGCGGTGCAAACCTCCCTTCAACCACACCAGAGACCCACTAATCCACAATACACTTAGTAGAGCATCGGCAACAGACAGGATAAATATTGGTTGAACCTGCATATTATATTATATCGATAATGTTTACAGGTGAGTGTCTTGGGAATATTTTTTGTCAGACTTTGGGATTGCAGACAGTTTTTCCCCAGACAGCTGAGCCAATGATGGAGGAGGTTCCCAAAATGCTAGAAGAAGCAAAACTTTCTAATAACATTCCATTGGAAACAATTGCATGTCTATACCTTAAGGACGCCGTGATTAACCTCAGGATTGCAATAATGTCAAACTCACCTCTCTGTAAACATGTCAGTAATGAAAACGAAAGTGTAGGTAGCTGTTACTTTCTTACCATTCCTTTATATATTGTAATATATTGTTTCCCTAGTTAGTACAGCATGCAGTTATATAGCTTGTGGAAGTGGGGTATAGCTAGCTACTGCGCCTAGCAATGAATCGGGAAGGCGGGGGAAATTCTCCTTTTGGCACTCACCTCCTTCTCGCCCATTGTACAATTGTTAAGAGTGAGGTTGTCAGAATCCATAGACGTGTATCTGAAACTGCCGTTGTCTTTCAGCGAAGTTAGGCAGTTGAAGTTAGGCAGTTGAAGAGCGGAGCGATCCCACTTGGTCGTATCTATCTTCGGCTCGTCCGTATATACGTTGTGAAGGTACGCATGCGTACGCGCTTCGGCGCGCCGCGCCGCGTAATCACGATGACGACGATCCAAACAACTCGACACGAAAAACGTATAAAAAACCTAGTAAGCGAATGCATGGCATTTTTGCGAGCGGGAGCGAGCACACAATGACTGCATCTGCACGAGCCATCCTATGACTGCATCTGCACGAGCCATCCTAGAGACGCTGCATATAGCTAAAACAGAATTGATACAATAGCTATTATCATTTTTGGAGAGTAGAGGAACAAGGTGCCAGAACAACATGATGAATTCTTATCACCGTGAAGAAACCCATTAGTAACTGTTTCTCTTTCAAAATCCTGAACTCTACTGGACATTCGAATACGACAACAGAAAATATTTGGTGGAAGTATAGCTACACTCTTTCCTCCAGTTTCTTTTAGGGGATCTTCCCTATATATCAAATTCATTGCTGGCATCTGGATTACAGTAGCCGTTAATGTAGCTACCCAAAAAGATTAGACAGGTGCACAAAAATAGCCTTGTATATTATTATAATATAGAGACCAGTTAATGAGTATATACTCTTTGTGTTCCATAACCTTGCTATATATTATATGGGCAGAGGCAAAGGTAACCGGTCTTAAATTTTGGCCTATTACGGCATCTTTTGAGTTTTGGCGACCAAATCAAGAATCCATTTTGGCGAGTATCCATGCCTTAGGCAAGTTGTACGGAAGAGAGAAAATTGCCGGAAGGGAATGTTTTAGAAACCAAGGCCATTTGGTTTAGCTACCATTTTCGTAGCACCAGCCATATCATTGCAGGCCACTGTGTTAAGCAGACAAAATTTAAGATATCCACAGAGTCATGAATCTTGTCGCGAGAAGCAGGGCAGAGGATAATTATGTTCAACATAATTATGCCTCTTTTAGTTGCCTCGAAATTGAACCATCAAACTGATTAGCTATAATAGGAGATACCATTATGACTCCTTTGTTACTTCCTTTCTTCACTTATCTAAGTAACTTATACATTAGAATTTTTTGACTGTTGTCTTGCTAAAGTCATATACATTGTCACTGAATTAATTTTCTTTAGGTTGAAGTACAAAAACAATTATGCTATGCACTGTACACCAAGTTATGATTGTGTTCATAATTATTGACATACAGCTCTTTTGTGACTGATCCTAAAAGAACACAACAATAATATTAGATTAAAGCACAAGATAATGTAACATTTAGTTACCTGAGGTAGTAGGGTAATGTTTTATTCTTCAGCACAGAATCGATCATTCGGATTACAGGCTGCAGTTGTGATAGTATTAAACGTGATTTCAGTGTGAATAAACCAACTGGAGGTGCGGCTCACCCCGGGTGCATAGTCCGTTGGAGCCCAACGTGAAGCCAAGCAAACATGAGCATCGAACCAGTGGTGACCCCGCTATCGAGGTACAGATTTGGTCACAGCCACCATTGTTGTTGTCACAGGGGTTGTTAGCTGCATGGAGCAGGGAGATTTGTGGCAACAAATTTAGATAATTTAGTACAAGAGATATTTATAAACTAGCATAGGGCAATGGATTTGAACTCACTAAAGCAGGTTCTTCCATCACTTCCAAGGGTGAATCCAGAATTACAAGAGCAAGAAAATGACCCACTGAGATTGTTGCAGACCTGGGCACAGTTATGTGTGCCTTCAGTGCACTCATTTATATCTGAAATACAGAGGGTAAAATACACAAACACAATAGGAAATTATTACACACAAAGTTGGAAGCAAAATAACCCAACACATTATGAGCTACACACTCCAAATTTGAAGAAATCAGCATTATTAACAGGAGTAATAATTATGCATTCGGTATAATTATTATAATGATGTTTATGCGTAATTTGATTTTTTGTACCATTGCAGAGGCGACCGTTACCGGCCAGTCGGTATCCCCCGTTACAGCCGCAAGAGAATGAACCAAGTGTGTTGGTACACAGCTGCTCACAGGGGTTTAGCAAGGTACACTCATTAATATCTGTTGAAATAAACAGCATGTGTTACATAAATATGTGGCAGAGACTTTCTTTATCATAGCCTTATACATTAATGATGCCATGCCCATCCATTACTAAGTACGTTCTTAGTTATTATACCGTCGCAGGAGAATCCATTTGCATTGAGAGTGAATCCAGACACACAAGAGCAAGTAAAAGAGCCCGGAGTGTTGGTGCAAGTTTGAGCACAATTGTCAAGACCTTCAGCACACTCATTGATATCTGGTTGAATTAAACATTGGTGATTAAACAGCAACTTAGTTAGATGCATGCTACTGCTTACCTACACATGATCGCCCATCACCTCCTAACCGGAATCCACTACCACACACACATTGGAATGAGCCCACAGTATTTGAGCACTGCTGTGCACATCCATGTATGCCCTCTGCACACTCATCAATATCTGCAGCACAGTGAAAGTCAGTATTAGTTTTGAATACGTGTAATTGTGATTACAAACCATTGCAGGTGTGTCCATCACTGTTGAGACGGAACCCAGGGGCACACGAGCACTGGAATGACCCGACAGAGTTTATACAGTTCTGGGCACAGTTGTCTAATTCCCGCGCACACTCATCAACATCTAGAGCACAATGAGCGTTTTTAAACTTGGCTAAAATAGTTCCCTCTGTGCCACTTACCACTGCAAGTCCTCGCATTAGCATCAAGTTCAAATCCTGCGTTGCATCCACACATGAAAGACGATGGAGTGTTTATGCACAGCTGCTCGCAGCCTCCGTTGCTTGCGGCACATTCATCAGTGTCTGAGTACAGTCGTAAGCAGTGAATGGTGGTGAGCAACTGGAAAAGTGGTTAGCGGTCATAATGGTACTGACCAATGCAGCTCTTGCGGTCGGTGGACAGCCTGAATCCTGCCTCACAGGAGCACACAAAGGAGCCGTCATTGTTGGTGCAGATCTGATCACAGTTGTCGGCTCCCTCAGCACACTCATCAACATCTAGAGCAGATAAGAAACACATTACATAGTAAAATACCTACAGCAGATAAAATGCAGTGTTGGTACCAATAGCAGATAACAAACAAAATAGTATCATTATAATACTGGACGGGATGGCAGAAACAATACCAGAGCAGGTCTTTCCATCAGCAGACAGCTGATAGCCACAGCTAAAGCAGGAACACTGGAAGGACCCAGGAGTATTGGTGCACACTTGACCACACCCATGAGTCCCAGTGGAGCACTCATCAATATCTGTGGAAGAGGGTAGGAATCTGAATGTTTGCTAAAGTTACAGAATATTATGTGCATACATACCAACGCAGCTCTTGCCGTTGTTGAGAGGTTCGTAGCCATCGTGACAGGAGCAGGTGAAGGAGCCTTGTGAGTTGACACACTCCTGCTCACAGTCATGGCTTCCCTCTGAACACTCATCAATATCTGAGGAAATAATATTATAATGGCATATAATTATAGCCATTTTCAAACTCTCGGACACCACAGGTATCACCTTCAATGAGCAGATAATCATGTATTATTATAGTATTATTGTATTAGTATTAGTGCCTATATTAGAGTATTATTAAGGACTTATGGAGGCACTTGTCTTAAGTGTTAAATTTACAAACCTCTGCAGCTAATGCCGTCAGCATCCAGGACATACCCAGCCCCACACTGGCACTGGTGAGACCCAGGAGTGTTCTCACACTCTTGCTCACAACCTCCGTTGGCCGCAGCACACTCATCAACATCTGAAGAAATATTATTGAACTCTACTTGCACCCTCTAAGGAGACAAGGTTGCAACACACCATTGCAGGTTCTACTGTCAGAGTGGAGTGAGTACCCCGCTAGACAGCTGCAGTCCCGGCCAGTGGTGGTAGGAGTACATATCTGGTCACATCCTCCATTGGAGACTGAGCAATCCTCAACTGGACCTGTGCATTACAATAATATCCCAGTATATAAAACATTCTTCCTGACGGACAGCATTTTTATTGCACTTACCTGTAGGAGAACTTGACCCTACTAGAAGATGAAGATCTGAAAAGAATTAGTAACAATAGTTATTCATACACCAAACACACACACACACACACACACTAGTCACACTCAACACTAGTATAGAACAGGTAGCTAATTACCAAGTGATAAAGAGACATCAAGCTCCAGTGGGCTGCTCCCCACCACCCCTTGTCTGGAGTCATCAGTGATGGTGACTGTGAGGGTGTACTGGCCAAGGTCCCTCGGCTTGATGGAGGAGAAGACCAGAGTGGCAGTATAGGGCTGTTGGAGTGGAGCTCCTGGAGTGACCCGAGGAGTGTCAGAGAGTGAGGGATGTCCGCTCCACACAGCCAGGACTGGGAGAGCTACGTCTACAGAGGGATCCACCTCGATGTTGAGAGAGAGAGTGAAGGAGTCAGGGTCAGTGATAGGGACTGTGCCGTCAGCTGATAGAACAGCTGTAACTTCTGGCTGTGGAACTATAGAATGGGGAAAAGCAGTTGTAGCTACTCTCAATGTCAGCATCAGCAATGTGCCTTTAATTGTAATACACAGTGTTGGAGTCAGAAGTAAGTCTACTTAGCGTACTGGGTTCGTCGCCCTTACCTTGGACACTGACAATCATGTTGGCTTCTTCAACAGACGGTATTCCTGCAAGAGTTGATCGGCAAGTGTACTGTCCAGCATGTGACACCAGGAGTGGATGGAAGGCGAGGGTGCTGTGAGTTGTCTGCTGGTCCACAGGATCCGTTATGATGCTCACACCTCCTCCACTGGTGACTGGACCATTGGGACCAGTCCAGGTCAGCTGCGTGGGGACGTTGCTGACCACTTCACATGTCAGAGTCACCACTCCACCGGCCGGAACTGCACTGGTACTGGAGCTAGTCACTTCGATCGTGTGCATCAGCTCTAAATAAATACCAACAAATGCACTCTGTGCAGTTTTAGCAATCATCAACTTACGTTGAATCTCGATAAGGGCGTCGGCAGTGAATCTTTCACCGGTT